TACCATTGTGAACATGACAAGTATATTCCCTCATGGAGGTTCCAATCTAGTTGGGAAGATAGACTTTGACCAATGGTAAAACGACCCAGGACACATCCTATGAACATGTGGTGTCAGGTTCTATGGGAGCACATAACAGTCTTGGGTGAAAGTGAGCAGGAAAGGCTTCTTGGTAAAGAATATGTTTCAGAGTAGGAGGAATTGGGCACATGGAGGCAGAGATGAGAATTAAATTCCAGGATGAAGAAGCACTAAGCGGGAAGGCGATTAGGAGTCTCTGGATTGGCTTTATTACTTTACATATTTATGTAAATGTAATTGCTTGTATATACAGACTGATGAGAAACAGGTGACATTAGGATTATAATAGCAATTGTTATTTAATAGCAATAGTAACTAACATTTTTTAATATTTGGTTTGTTCTAGATAATCTTATGAGCAATTTACATGTATTATCTCATGTAATCCCTTCTCCATACCTCGTTCTAGCTGCTCTTTTATTAGTCTCATTTAACTGATCAGAAAATGTAGGCACAGCTCGGGAGTAGTGGGGCCTATTCTTTGTACTTGTATAGCAAGTGTAGAAAATTTCTATTTATGCTATATTCCCCTTGGTGTCCACTTTAAAACCTGGGCCTTCATTATACTTCAATCGCATAATGGCTGTGCAATGTTGAAACCATTACTCTGAGCTTTAGAAGAATCTAAATGATTCTTTTAAATTAACTATAATGATACTTAACATTGATAGACGACTTTCTGCATTGGTCAGGGGAAGTTGAGTAATACCTTGGTTAAAAAAAAAAAAGCTTCTAACAACAAAGCGTTAATTTATTTCTCACTCATGTTACATCTTGATTGGGCCGGGAGCTCTGTTACATGTCTCCTTTCTCCTGGACTCCATGTCTCCTTGCTCCAGCATGGCATGCCTGTCTACAATCTCTGCAGCAGGGGAAGGGGCCACTTGTTTCCATTCGGCAGTGCTGTATGCTCTTCTTCTTTCATTGGCCAAAGCAAGTCACATGATCATAGCTCAGCAGAGAACTGCAGTCCTGTCCTGGGCAGGGAAGAAGAGGAACAGGACCATTTATGAACTATTCTAATCCATGTACCAGTTTCTCTTCTACCTGCTTTACTATAACAACTCACTTACTTGCCAACAAACCTATGTAGTAACTATGATTGCTATCCCCATTTTAAAGATGAAGTATCTGCACTCCCATGTTCTCTGAAGCCCTATTTACAAGAGCCAAGATATGGAATCAATCTAAGTGCTTATGAGTGGATGAATGGACAAAGAAAATGTTACATATAAACACAATGGAATACTATTCGGCCATAAAAAAGAACGGACTCTTGTCATTTGCAGCAGCATGGATAAAATTAGAGGTCATTGTGTTAAGTGAAATAAGAAAGACAAAAAAAGACAATTGTTGTATGTTTTCATTTGTATGTGGGAGCTGGAAAAGTGGATCTCACAGTGGTAGAGAGTAGAGTGGTGGTTATCAGAGGCAGAGAAGGGTAGTGTGGAGGGTAGATGAGAATTGGTTAACAAATACAAACATACAGTTAAATAGAAGGAATAAGTTCTAGTATTATAGTATTAATATACCACATATTACTGATATAATATAGTATATCTAGTATTCTATAGAAGAGTAATTATAGTTAATAATAATTTATTGCATATTTCAAAATAGCTAGAAGTGGAAAATTGTACTGTTTCCAACACAAACAAATGTTAAATGTTTGGGGTAATGAATATCCCAATTACCCTGATTTGATCATTCTGCATTGTATACAGGTATCAAAATATCACATGTACCCTCAAAATATGTACAACTATTACATATCATTTTTTTAAGATGATGAAATAGAGGGAAAGAAAGATTAAGTCACTTGCCCAAGATCACTTGGCTAGAAAGTGGTAGATCAAGTTTCTACCCAAGCAGCAGTCTCCAGAGCCCATACTCTGAAATCACTGACTGCATTTACCTTACAGGGTTATTGTGAGAATAGCAGATTAGATGGAACTTGGAAAGTGTAACTTACCATAAGGGAGCATCAGCATTTTGTTGTTTCTGCCACTGGTTCCTCAGTGTGCTGGTCTCAGGAAGTCCTCAGGTGAGGAGATTGACTCAGCCTCTTCAATGGCCACCTCCCTCCCCTACTCTGCCAGAAAGACACAGGTTTTTGTAAAGGTGTCACTGCCTTTGCCATGAATGATTCCCACGCAAACAATCCTTTTCCAGTCCAGGTCTCATTAACCTAAAATTTGTAGGCAAGTGCGGTGATTAGAATGAATCAACATCAGGCACCGAAGGGCTGGCTCTGTGAACAAGTCATGTAGCACAATGTAAAGTGGGATAACACGTTGTAAATTAATGTTGTTAAAATGAATGCTTGATAGTAATCCCAAGGAAGGCTATTTACCATCTTACTTGAAGAGACAGGAGCTGTGTGGAAGCCAAAGCAATTTGAATTGCACAGAAACACTCAGGTTTGCCACTGCTGATGAATTATCAAACACTTTGGCTTCTTTCCATGTGCAATACTGTTTAATGTTTACCTAAAAAACAATGGGGCAGGAATGTGCTCTGTGTGCCTTGGGAATGACAAGTGACAGAGGTCAGCTAGATGCACAAAACAAAACAAAAGAAATCTATTTTAGTAGTCACCACCTTCTATGGGCTATCATACCTGGCTTTTATTCTCTCTTGAATTTTGGATGGATCATTCCATCCTGGAGTTGAGTGAAGAGAGGCACTGTCAAGACATCAGCAGTCACCTGTTCTTTCTGTCCAAGCTTACTTTCCTGGTCTGGGTCCTCTGATGTTCCACCTCCATTTTTTAGGTGTTGGGATTTTTATGTGCACAATCAGAGAGCTGATGAATGGTACTTTCCATCAGTGCAAGCCTTGGGCAAAAATTATCTTTTTCTCCTTTTACAATTTTTCACCCTAGGTTCCTCAAGCTTACCTTGAATACTTTGAGTGCCACTTAGAAAATAACACCCACTGTTTTTGACCTCGTCTCTTTCGCCAAAAGTCAACATCCCCCTGTACAATAGCTTCAGAGTTCTGCTGCTTATGTGCATGGTTTATTTACATGATAGGCCCATTTATCTTAGAATTCAACCATAAAGGAGACAACCAAAAGAAGGAGGAGAAGAAAAAAATTAAAGAGTCCTGGTGAGTTCACCCACAGTTCCATTCCATGTGAGGCTGAAAAGGGGAATAGGAACTTAGTTTCCACAGGGCATGGTGCTTGCCTCCAAGCTAACTACTTTGTTAGGATCCAGACCCAAGAATCCACAATCATTCCAGTGTTAGAAGGACAACTTGATGTGTTAAACTCATTGAGCTTCTTCCTATGGGATTCTGAAAACGACAACTTGTTTTTTATTTCAAGAGTTAGAAACTATACCCCACTGTAATGGTAGAATCCAATAATAAATTGACATAATTTAAGCCCATTATTTTAAACTTAACTTTTAGCAGATTTTGTACCTTCTGGGAGTTGTTCCAGGAAGAACAAATGATTTCTCTTCCTGGCACTCCTTCTTCCTCCCTATCACCACTAAAAAGCAAATTCATGTGGTATAGAATTGGACAGCTCATTGTTTGATTTTTATTTCATGGAGACTAGGGTTTCTCAAACTTGAGTTATATAGACACCCTTTTGAGAGGAAAATAATTATCATGGATCTCCATGAGGATATAAAAGACTTTTATTAAAATGTTAATATGTAAACATAAAGTCAGATAGAAACTCTTTGTGCTTACTGTTTTAGTCAATTATGAAACCAAAACAAATTAGATACAAGCATCATTGCACATCTAATAAAATTCAAATTAACAACATTAAATAAAATGATGAATCACGTTGTCTGGCTGAAGTGGCATCTTCTCTTTAAACATGACTGTTGTACTTTGGGCTTTGGTGCAAGTTCTCTTGGGGTAGGAGATCTAGGCCATCGTGTACGAACAATGCTCTCATCTCTCTTCTCTAGTTCTCATCGCTTGGCATGAATTAATTATTTCCTATGAGTTTTTGCATGGGATCATTCTCTGTTCATTTCTGCAGAGAATATAAGTAGTAGTATTAGGAGCCTACAGGAAGGCAAAACTATAAAAGCAAAGTCTTTTCTGAAATCACATGGCTGAACTCAACGAGAAGGTGGTCATGCAAATAATCCTTAACATGCTCCTATTGATTTCCTCTTGCTTGTCACTGACATTTCATGTGACAATGAAAATTTATTTTGGAGAGAATGTGTGTGGATCCTCAGGGGCTGAGGAGTCTAGTTTGGGTGCCGTGTTCTAAGATGTATTCTCTTAATGACCTTCTTGTTTCCCCACCAGTCATCTTCCTTTGTCCCATACACCATCAGAGCATGGACAGTTTAAAGGATCCAGCTGGACAATCAGGACACCTGGGCTCTGGTTCTAGCTGAAGCCTTACCTACTCTCTGACTGCAGTAAAGCTTCCTGTTAGTTCTCTTCCAGTCCGAGACAAGCCACCATCATCTCTTGCTCCAACTGAAATGGCCTCCCAACTCACCAACCTGCTTCCATGCTTGGCCCCTCCCCCATCCATTTCTCACCCTAGAACAGAGGGTGATCTTCTTAAGTTGTGCATTAATCATGTAACTTTCTTGTTTTACACCTCTCCACTGAAGTTTCAATTTTATTTACAGTAAAGTCCATGACCGAACACACTGTATGTCCATTTGTCACCCACCTCTATTTTCACCCTACAGCAGAAAGTAATCTTAAATTATAAATTAGGCATGTTACTTCCCTGTTTAATACTCTTCCACTGAGGTTCCAGTTTTATTTATAATAAAATCTATGGCCTACCAAGCTATATGAAATCCAGTCCCACCTACCTCTCCAGATCCATCCCCCACCTCACTTCTTCACATTCTCCATGCCCACCCCTAGAGTTTCATTTCAGTTCTTTAAATTGCCGAGCTCTCCTTTGAATGAGGTTTTTTTTTTTTTTTTGCATGACACCAGCCATGGGCTGCTTTATTGAGCACCAGATTTTCAGTACAATTTGCCACAGAAGGAGGGGTTTAGATTCAACCATGCCCATGTGCAAGGGCGCTGGTCCCTGTCCAGGGCACATAATCAGAGAAGTGATACAGCCATGCCGAGGTATACGTGTGTGCAGAAATGGACACACAGGCTTCAGGAGCATCAGTAACTGACCATCGAGATCATGGTCTTCTTGGAAGGAATAAATTTAAGAATGTTGCTCAGCCCCACAGAGTAGGGGTGACTCCGCAGGGTGAAGGCTTGTAGGGGTGGCGTCCTCAGTGGTGCTGCCCTGCAGAGGCTGAAGGTGTCATCCCATAGGCTTTATAGAGGAGGTCCGAGAAGCTCCCTCTTCTCATCTTCTGGGAGGAAACTGGAGTTGGCTGCATTGATGTTCATCCTCTTAAACTCCTCTTCAGTAAAGCCCATGTCCTGTTTGGTCATCTGGTAATCAGTGTCCAGGGTGGACTTGAAGATGAGTGGGTCATCTGTGTTGAGTGAATAGTTAGCCTGGTCATTTCTGAGACGAACAACTGCATGCTCTGTGTCCGGCTTCCAGGCACCAGTGAGGTGGCTGGACCAGGGGCATACCTCGAAGTGCATGTTTGCCCGCCGCAGCCTGTCATAAAGGGCCTGGTCTTCCAGGGTGTGGTAGCCATGTCCCAGCCGCTCTGTCTTGAATATGTCCACAGCCTCGGCTGAGCCCACTTCCCCGGCGTGGACAGTACGGTGAATGCCGCTCTTCAGAGCCTCCTCGTAGGCCTGGACACGTCCAGAGAGGAGGCTGCTTCCTTGGATGGTCTCGTCTCCAGCCAGGTCGATGGCCACCACGGTCTGCTGCCGGTACTTCTTACACAGCTCCACCACTTCAGGGGACCAGTTGGGCTGGTGGAGCATGCAGCACAGGTTGGACCAGGCCTTGACCCCGAAGTCTCGCTCCCCCTCCCGCAGGCCCTGGCCCACTAGGGCCGCCACCTCGTCTGGGGTGAGGTCCCCTTCAGCCTGGTTCCAGGGGATTGGCTCCACTTTGGAGTTGGCCAGCAGGTGAGGGCTGTAGCGCACCTCCACGCCCTCTTTGGCCTTCATCTCTACAAACTCATAGGTGATCCTTTTGATAGCCTCCCGGCAGCCCACGGTAGCTGGCATGTAATACTCAAACTTGGCCAGGAAGCCCGGGAGGGAGAGCGGCTTGTCCATGCCGATGACGTTCTGCAGCCCCTCTGCTGTGTTAGCTGGGAGGGTGATCCCTCTCCTCCTGCCATAGTATAAGATGGTTTCCGGCTTGATGGCTCCATCTAGGTGGACGTGCAGTTCTACTTTGGGCTTGTCGAAGGCGGGTGTCTGGGTCATGATCCCCTCGTGCGCGCCGGCGCTGATCCCTCCGCTGACGCTCGGAGGGTCTCTGCAGGCTCGTGGGCCACTCGACATTCCCTGGGGCTGAATGAGTTTTTTGAATGGGCTTGTTGCTCTCCCTGAAACACTCTCTATCTCCACCAGTCAACTCCTCTCTTCCTGGTTTCTAATAATCCTTTAGAGTGTATCTTAAATCCTACCTTTACAGATCAGGCTTCTCTGATTACCCTACCTTGGTTAAATTTACCCCCAGATCTTGTTCTCTGGATCCATCTTTTGTTGAACTCCGTCAACAGTTTAGCCGTGTGATGTGAGCATGCATTCCTCTTCGGGTCTGTCTTCCTCCACTGGAACATCAGCTCCTTGAGGGCAACAACACTGCTCTTTTATCATGGTATCCCCTGACACCTAGGACAGTGCAGGCATGGAGTCTATTTTGAATTATTGAATTAATGTTGATGAAGGAATGGCAGCCCTCTTTCCACTGGGCTCATTTTCTGGACTTTATTTTCCTTAGCTATAAAGTGGAGCTAACATCATCTGCTTTACTTGACCTCATTTATTTAATACAGAAAAGCCAGTTTTGTAGTTGGCCCCATGCTTGGTACCAGGGATACAGAGTGTACTGAAAAAAGTTCAAGGGGTCTCAAAGAGAGTCAAGTGCTAGGGATTTGGTATCAATAGCCAGGCAGAAGATGCGGGGAGTCAGGCTGACTGCCTGGAGAGCTCCACCCCTTGGGCACTAATAGTCCAGTGCCCCAGGAGCATCTCTCCTGCCAGGGATGGTCTGGGGGTCACTCATTTTACATGTATTCACTGAAGGATCATGTCAGGTACTTAGCAGCTCTAAGTCTTTCCACCATCTTTGTGCTTTATCTCTTATTTAACATAGCTTCTTTCTACTTTTATTCTGGAGATCCTGATGGAGTGAGTTTAGCTTGATTCATCAGTGCATTCATTCGGGGCACACATGATAAGCACCTTCTATGTATCAAGCACTAGGATTGTGAATTTTGCTTCTGCTACCACTGAGACAACGCAGCTCTGGCCCTAACGCTGGGGCTTGATGTTCTAGTTGCTTTTCCGAAGTCCACCTTCCTTATAGAACTCCGTGGTATCATAGCCATGTGGTGAGCTGGAGCGGAATTTAGGAACTCAGCCTTCTTACCTCATTCTACAGCAATAGTGTGACATTGGGTGGGTTTCTTAACCTCTCTAAATCAAGGATTTCCTAACATGTAAAACAAGGCTATAAATTCCCACTACACCCACTTCTTTGAGTTCTTTTCAGACTTGAGATAATGAGCATGAGGGAGCTTAAAAGAAGCATAGAGCAAAATGAAAACATAATTAACTCAATGACTGTAAAATGCCAAGAGAGGTAAAGATAAGGAAACTAATGCTGATTACATATTTACCCTGTGCTTGAGGCTTTGCTAAATGCTTCATGTATGATACTCTGTCACAAAAAGCCATTTTTCCTGGAGAGGAAACTGGGACCAAGAATGTCAGGTCGCTTTTCCAAGACTGTTCAGCCAATAGGCAATGAGGTTGGCTCTCCCGCCAGAGCTGGGTGACTTTTAAGGCCAATATGCCCACTGCTTCAGGCTGTCCAAAACAATGGAACATTGTATATCATTGTAGAGGGTCATTCAGCCTCTACCTAAATGCTTCCATATGGGTGTGGTCTGGTTTCCTTGGGGTCCTTACTCTGGGGACAGATAGGATGGACCTAAGATCAGAATATCTCTCTATTGGTAATGTTAGATCTTTTGTCCTCCCTCCGTCCAACTGGAAGTGCCCTCTATAAGTCATGAGTTTGCTGGCAATCTGGGGAATGTCTTAAAAAATTTCTTTCTTGGCCAAGTATGATGGCTCAAGCCTGTAACCCAGCACTTTGGGAGGTCGAGGAGGGAGATCACCTGAGGTTAGAAGTTTGAGACCAGTCTGATGAACATGGCAACACCCATGTTTACTAAAAATACAAAATTAGCCAGGTGTAGTGGTGCATGCCTGTAATCTCAGCTACTCAGGAGCCTGAGGCAGGAAAATCACTTGAACCTGGGAGGCAGAGATTGCAGTGAGCCGAGATCATGCCATTGCACTCCAGCCTGGGCAATAAGAACAAAACTTTTTCTCAAAAAAGTCCCTTTTTACTTTCAGACAACCTAAGTTGCCCCAGGTCCTGGTGGTAGGCCATCAGCTTCACAATTCCAGAAATGCCTCCTTGTCTGCTGAAAGTTCCAGCCGCTTTCTGAATTCTGAGGACGGCTCTCTATTCAGTAGGTAATAGAATAACAGGGTAGAGGCTGCATCAAGGGAGATGAAGCCTGCAGCAATTTGGTAGCAGCTAACACCCCAAATACCCTGAGTTTCATCTGTATTCATTCCCCCCAGTGCTGTGGACAGCTCCTGCGGACTCCAGTTTATCTCAGCCTCAAAGCTAATAGAGTTAAACCAGCTGGTCAATTTAAACAGGAGCCAAAGCAGTGAGATGTTACTGTATTCTGAGATGGTGCTAATAAACTTTAATAGATTTCAGCTAACAATTTGGTATAAATTAGACGTTGCACTGCTGCTGAGGTAATAACTTTTGGCATTAAATAACAGAAAATCAAGCTCTGTGATGTGCTTCAAAAGCACCTTCATCGAGCCTCTGAGATTCAGGCAGATTTCACTATTGATTACTGCTTACTTTTCCCCAAGCGTTAAGAAAACAGCAAACTGTTCCAAAATACACCCCCTCAAAGGGGCCCAGATTTTTTCTTCCACCTGCTCCGTAACTCATTTACATTAAAGAACCCTTGGGCTTGAAATGGGTACAAGGTGACTGAAAGACTTCTAAGGATGAGTCAGGAGCCAAGATGTTAGACAATTCCCGTGAGAGCACCCAAGCACTTGTTCATATTTTTCTGGATCCTTCCAAAGTGTTCACCAGCTGAATAAAGTCATTCCCATTAGATTGTTTAACAATGGTTCCAATGTGAGCTCTGTGATGAGCATGGGTTAGGCACTAGAGTCAATGGAGTCTATTGCAAGAGGCCTGACATGGCATTAGGAGAACTTGCTCAGGTGTTGGCTATGGTACTAATGAGCTACATGACCTTAGGCAAGTGATTTAACTTCCCTGAACCAGAGTTCCCTCACTCCTTCCCCTAAAAGGACATAAGGAGGGAGGAAGTTTGAGAATCCCTGTGAAAGTATGCTGTAGGCTGGGAAGTGCTATCCAAACATATGTTGTGAGATTCAGTAGGCTGTGGGACGTTTAGGTGGTCTAGGGCACGCCGGGGTTCTGAAGTTCTGTGACATCAACATGAGTCTCAGAAACAGCCAGAATGTTCCCTGCTGCAGATGCATTGGCCCCACCTGTAGGGCCTCCTGACACCTACCCTACTCTCCCCTCTACTCACACTCTTTGAACTGTGCTCAGGGGCAGTGCTACAACTTCCACATTGGTCTTCACAGGGATTGAGTGATTTTTTCAGAAACAGAATCCTGTGTGGAGGTTATTATTATTGAAACCTTTACCACATTTCACTGAATATAAGACACATTTTTTTGTTGTTATTTAACATCTTTAAGGTTGGGTTATGTTTCTTCATCATTGTCAGTTGGAGTTTAATTAGGAGCATCTTTTTTTTCCCTTAATGTCACACGCAGTAATGGTGCAGCATCTCACAACTGAGATCATCTTAGACGTGATGGAATATGGAGTTGTATGCCTGTTACAAGCAAGGCTGGAGACTGTGGAACCCAAGACAGCACCATCCTCTAGTGGTGTTCACACTCCACCACAGTGGAGTCGGGTAAGTCAAACTGGAGCAAGTCAGCAAGAGAATTTCATACAGTATTGGATTTTGGAATAAGATAACTGGAAAAAAGGATAAAGAGGATCTAGACTTTTAAGCTACTATTAAGAGGACAGTCCATCGGGGCCTCTCAGGGGAGGTGAAATCTACACAGGAAGCTGAATGCTAGAAGGAAGGTTACTTGGTAAGATCTAGGACCAAGGGCTTTCCAGTGTGAGGGAACAGCCAGGTGGTCCCTACAATGGGAATTATGTTAGCAGAATGTTACTGGTAGAGTCCTTGGTCCTTGTGTGCATAATTCTCTAAATATGTGCAAATGAGAATAGTCACAGATTTTCCCAAAGATCTCATGCCTCTTTCTTTCCTTGATTTTTTTTAAACCAAGCCCCCAATTTACATTCATCAAGGACTTTCTTAGTTTCCTAGGGCTGCTGTAGTAAATTACCGCAAACTTAAGTGGCTTAAAACAAGAGAAATTTATTTCATCATAGTTCTAGAGGCTACCAGTCTGAAATCAAGATGTCTGTAGGGCCATACTCTCTCTGAAGGATGTAGGGGAGAATGTGTTATATGCTTTCTTATAGTTTTTGGTGTTAGCTGGAAATCCTTGTTATTCCTTGGCTTGGAGCAGACACATTGCTCCAATCTCTGCCTCTGTAATCACAGGGCTTTCTCCCCATGAGTGTCTGTCTCTTTTCCTCTTCTTACAAAGACAACACCTTGTTGGATTGGGACCCACTCTCATTCAGTATGATCTCATCTTCACTTCATTACATGTGCAAACACTGTATAACCGCATAGTCACAGGTACCAGGGATTAGGACTTCAACGTATCTTTTTGGAGGGCACAATTCCACTCATAACAGCTATCCTAATGGAACATCTCAAAAAGAGGTCTTAATGGAGGTCTGATGTCTTTGATAACATGACACCCAAACTGTCTCACCACCGAGCAGATCTCCCACATTTTGTTTACTGAGAAGAAAAGTCATGAGCCCATCTTCAGGGTTTAGGATCCAAACGCCTGGTTTCCTTGGGAGCATTTTCTTTTCTCTCTATTGGCATAGGTTATTTTGGTGGTAAGGTAAAAGGTTGATTTTGGTGGAAGAGAGTCATCATCGTAAACCTCCCCAAAAGTAATCATTGATTGCAACAATTAATGACATTATTTTTGGAGTACATGGGTGGCCACTGTAGCCAAGTGAGAAATAATGTCTAACAACTTGGTAGCCAGTCATCATCAGGAGTATTAATATTAAACAGGTTGTTC